CCCCAAAACCCCAAAACCCCAAAACCCCAAAACCCCATTATGACTCTTAAATTTTGAAATAAATCTCTTGAAATATAAATAAAAATGGAGTCAGTCATAACCCAAGAAAAATATATCACAGAGCAAGAGGAGCAAGTCAGCACAGCAGTGAAAACTTTCATCGGTATGAGATTTTAAGAACCATAGATCATACCATGTACAAGGACAATAGAGGATCTTTGAGGAACAACACAACTTTTAGATTTGAGTTTGGCTGAAGTAACTGAGTGAAAATCCTTAAAACTCTTAACAAATGCTGTAAGATTAAGAAGGCTAATTTTAGGACGTATCAGAAGTGGATTCCTGGAATTAACAGAACTTAGCAAACTTCATTGTACAATCAGATTCCTAGAGCATGTGAAGAACTTGATCTTAGACCTTAAGTGATTGAATGGGGCGTCTAAAATTACAAGATTAAGTGTATTCCAAACAGCAAAATTGTATCTGTGATTTTTGAACAATATAGCATCCAGATTAACAACTTTGCCTGGGAATTCAAAGATTTTCTAAAAATTATTTGTTGAGCTTCTCTTGCCAGATCAATAACATTTAACAAAATTGAGTAAGTGATTGTATGGGAAGAGTAGTGAGCATTGATATCCATATCCTAATCCTCAAAAATCTGTTTGTTTTTACTTTCTTGAAGCTTCAATAAGCAATTGTCCTTCAAATTGGTATTTATTTGTGTTCCAAGTTGAACCTCAACCTATTATATACAATGCTTGACAGTTATTTAGTTAAAATCAAGTTCTCCAACATTGTTGTATAGTCTCCCCGATAACTTACTTCAAAAATATTCGGAAGCAATAGATGCTGGAAATAGTGATGACCAGAATGAGTTATCAGGAAATCCCAAATGTGCTAAGAAACTAGTATTCATACGTGAAGATCAATTTCCTGTGCCATTATTAGTAGAATCAATCTCAAAAATTTGAAAATGAAAATCAATTCTCTCTCAGAGTAAGCATTGCTAATAATTTTTAGAAGTTATGATTGTACTTGTAAGATCTTCTCTGTCGAATTTGCAGTTTCTTATTAAGCAATGATCTCAACTTGGTCTCTAAACTAAGTTCTTGTCAAAATTTCTAAACTAAGTTTTCTCCAATCTAAATATCTAAAATAAGTTTCATTGATCTAAGCTAAGTTTCGTTTGCAAGTTGAACAGCCCTGAGGGCCCTGCCAAAAATTGGACTTCAGGTTATGAAGCCACTAACTAGAATAGTTTTCAAATAGCAATCATCGCGCATCCGTTTGAACGTCATTTGCTGCGATTTTACCCCTGCTAAAAAGACAAGAGATTTTTGATGGGCTTGCCTAAGTAGCAAAGGCTAATTAATAGAATTCCACTTTAAATTTGTCTTTAAATTAAATCTTTTTTGCTTTCAATATTGAACGCAAAATATGGGGTTTTGGGGTTTTGGGGTTTTGGGG